GTCTATCACCCCTCCCCCCTAATCTTTAGAGCCAGTGCACAGTGTGTCTATCACCCCTCCCCACTAATCTTTAGAGCCAGTGCACAGTGTGTCTATCACCCCTCCCCCCTAATCCTTAGAGCCAGTGCACAGTGTGTCTATCACCCCTCCCACCTAATCTTTAGAGCCAGTGCACAGTATGTCTATCACCCCTCCCCCCTAATCTTTAGAGCCAGTGCACAGTGTGTCTATCACCCCTCCCCACTAATCTTTAGAGCCAGTGCACAGTGTGTCTATCACCCCTCCCCCCTAATCCTTAGAGCCAGTGCACAGTGTGTCTATCACCCCTCCCACCTAATCTTTAGAGCCAGTGCACAGTATGTCTATCACCCCTCCCCCCTAATCTTTAGAGCCAGTGCACAGTGTGTCTATCACCCCTCCCCACTAATCTTTAGAGCCAGTGTGCCGTGGGTCTTCTACCTGCCCCTACTCCACAAACCCACATGGCACACTTGCCAAAATTTTGTCTGGGTTTCAGGTGAAGTGGTTGAGTTTGTTATTTTTTATAGCCATGTTTTTGTGTTCACATAAGTTTGGGCATTTTTTCGCACCAAATTATACCCTATATGAATGTACCTTAACATTTGACCCTACACTGTGACTTTTACTGAAACTCCTAAGTGGAGGGGTCAGTCCAAGTATTGTGTCGGTGATCTAGTGGTTGGGCAACAGGACTCGAAATCAATCGTCAGCTTACAGGGTTCGGGGGTTCGAGCATTGGGGAAGGCACGTTTCACGCATTTTCCTCACTTCACCAAAGTGGGAATGGGTACCCGGCCAAAGCTAGCGAAAGATCTTGTCAGTATGTTAGTGTTTTAGCATCCATAAATGGCAGCTTGCACTGTATGGTTCCCTGAAAGTTGAAGTTGTTTCAGAATGCTCTCCTGTCTGCTGGGGTAACAGTATAGATTGTAAAGCGCACAGAGCTTGCTGTTGGGCATGGATTTGCGTTAAACAATTGCTATATATTATTATTAAGTACAAACCATAGTAAAAAAGAAGTTAAGTACTATACAAAAGTCAAGACATGCCGGCTTGCTACAGACGAATGCGTTAACCAGAAGCGTGATTTACAATCTACAAAGAACAAAACTTATATAAATGGCGTCTGTTTCCTAACCTGTACAGGTTGTTCGCTGCTGGAGTCCTTGGATGACTTGGTGGCTGTTCAAACAAATACGCAGCCATACGTTCTTCGTCGATCTCAAGGTAAGGATTTTCTTGAACATGTGAAGGAGCTAGAGAGATATCACAGGAAATATCAGACATGATTTACACTATTAATACGAATAGTTTATAGTGCTTGTGTGCAGTATCTAGGTGAGAGAGAGAGAGAGAGAGAGAGAGAGAGAGAGAGAGAGAGAGAGAGAGAGAGAGAGAGAAAGAAAGAGCGAGACAGACAGACAATCAGATAGATACAATAGCGAGAGAGAGAGAGAGAGAGAGAGAGAGAGAGAGAGAGAGAGAGTACGTGTGTGTGTGTGTGTGTGTGTGTGTGTGTGTGTGTGAGAGAGAGAGAGAGAGAGAGAGAGAGAGAGAGAGAGACAGACAGACAGACAGACAGACAGACAGACAGACAGACAGACAGACAAACAGACAGACAGACAGACAGACAGACAGACAGATAGAGAATACAGTCAAAAAGAGACAGACAGACAGACAGAAGATAGACAGAAGACAGATAGACAGACAGAACGTCGTTCCAACCGTACAAGAAAACAGACACGAGATTTGGTTATAGCTAGGGCTTAGATAACCAGTGGCGGCTCGTGGTTTATAGAACTGACCTGCCGTCATTCACGTCGACTATTTCTCCCTCCCCACCCCCTTCCTTCACAACACACACACACACACACACACACACACACACACACAAACACACACACACACACACACACACACTCACACACACACACACACACACACACACACTCTCTCTCTCTCTCTCTCTCTCTCTCTCTCTCTCCCCTTATTTTATGCCCCTACTTTCGCCATCCCCACCCCCTATCCCACTCACACACACTCACACACACACTCCACTGTAAACTTTGTAATATAATGTGAAAAAGCTGAAACATGCATCAGTGTCAAGAAACAATATTAAGAATAACGTACCATGGAAGTCACTGAAATTTATAGAAACTGACTTGATCGGCACAGAAAAAGAAACACGGCTAGGCTGGTCCTGGCCTCCAGTACTTTACTCGTACTTTCTACACCCCCACACAAAATATCGACTTGCACTGGACCCGTTAATATATGTAATAAGAACGGTCCTGTATGATGATAAAAAGTCAATTGATACTGTACCAGTGACGCTGTCCCAAGCATATCAAATCTACAATCAGATACTATAAAAAGCTGGACAAAGTTAGCACACAACAGTTTCCAATCATTATATCATCACATGTTCTTCGTCGCACTTCTCAGTTCTCATAACAGAACACTGTGTTGTCAACAAAGTGAGGAAGTGTGTCAAATGCTAATTATAGAACTTAATGTCTAGCTGGGGTGACGGTGGAAAAGGGGAGGGAAGGGAGGGAGTAGACCTATTGTTTTCGGCCCAGACTCTGACAGCCGAGTGCCTATCGCTCCCCGTTAAAATTCTCCTTATATGTCTTCATTAGACGATTCCTCCTTTCACCGGCCAGACTCCTATGGACCAGGTAAATTATTAGTGGGGACTATAGGTGGTTAAAAAGACAATAAACGAAAAAGATTATTGCCATGCTGACAATAAAAGTTCTGACAGTAGTTAGAGAAAGGCTGAATGATAAATATATGTTTTGCTGATAAAATAATACAAGTGTTTGTGCTGGTCAAGATAGTTTCATTCTTAATTTTGTAAGTTACAAAGGGGCCACTTTGGCAATAAGGTATGCACTTTTCGCTCGGAGGGCAGTCGATGGATTTGTCTCTGGGATTGACATCATCGCTAAGCCTAAGCGCACCGTGTTCAGTGTTCAGTTTGTCCTCGTACCTTCGAAGTTCCGCGACGTGATGGCTTGACGGGAGACGATTTAAAGTTTACGAGCAGAGGCGATAACAAACGTGAAGGAATGAGGCTCTGTCGCGACAAAACAACAGTGAATCCCACTTCTCTATTTGAGCGCCTTCAAATGTGCAAGGTGCTTTTAAAAGAAGATACTTGTTTGTTTGGATTTACTTAAAACAGAATGAAAATCCTCGTCTGCAATAAATCTCTTTTCAACAGTCCAGCTGACAAAAATTTAACAAACTACCCCTGCAAATAACAAATATAACAAAATTGGTGATGATAATAATAATGAGATAATAGTAATCACTTCATTATAGCGCCCACTCCTTTGTGGCTTTCTGGGCACTCAGCAATAATATAGGATTTGAATCAACCTTTCATGAATACTGGCCAACATAAACATAATAATGTAAGCAGTCCTTTCAAATATATATTATATACCCATAATCTGAAAGAAACAATTAACTCACAAAAATAGTCACTGAGGCAATATTTTTTTTATTCTGTTTGCCGTTGGAAGCAGAGTCACCCTACAAGTGTTGTGGGATTCAAATAAATGTACTTTTAAACCAGATTTAAATGTTAGCAAAGTAGGTGCCTGTCTTAAATGCAATTGGGGCTGGGGGGGGGGGAGGAATTCCACCTTGAAGGAGCAGCTCTACTCCAATTGAAAAATATCAAGGTACAGAATTAATTCTTTGTGTCACGTGCCGGTGGAATCAGGCATTCGCCAATTTTTCGGCATGTGGGGTTATTGGCATCGTCTAAAAACTCGTTTGTTTGTATTGCCTGCAAATGAAAAAATACCCATTTACCTTGAATAACAGCCGGAATCTTTTCAACCGAAGAAGGCGGGGTTCGCCTGCTTTGCGAGATAAAATTTGCGAGAAAATGGCCGCCAAATTATGGTGAATTCCAAAGCTTAAGAATCCTTGGGAACAGCAAAGTATTTACATTTTGTGTGCCTTTGATAAATGTTTTTCAGTAAAATCTGTACAGATTTTTTTATGGACATAAAAGGTGTTAAGCCAAATAACAACAACAAACAAACAAACAAACAAACAAACAAACAAACAAACAAACAAACAAACAAACAAACAAACAAACAAACAAACAAACAAACAAATTATCAAAATTGCCCCACGTGCGGAAAAAACCCGATTTCTTATGTTTCGTTATTTTGACGAGCGCAAGATTTCACCACTGAGCATCACATTTAGCTTCAGAGGATTTTGTCCTGATACATGCCTCTAAATCCTGGAAAGGGGAGGTATGCTCTAAAAACGTCTTGTGTTAAAAAAAATATTCATTACAAAATGACATGTAGCAAAAGCTCAACTATATTAGGAAAAGAAATCTGCTTTGAATGAGCCAGTTTTCACTGCAGAAAAGTACAGTCTAATTATTTGTTTTCTCCTATTATAGTTGTGACTATCGTGCTTTCTTTCGTTATCTATCTATTTCGTCAAATATAAACATAACCACCTCCTCTAGTGACATAAAAATACAACACTACGCTAGACAAAGAACTTTCACGTGTCTTTGTTTGGACTAGATCGCTTCTCATGTTGAATTTTAATGTATTTTCAAAGTTTCCTTGGAGTTGTACAAGTTTCAATTCTATTGCGACCTCCATTTCGTCATGTGTCACGACGTGGTGGAATCGGCCTCTCGTCCATTTTTGAGCATGTGGCGTTATTGGTACAATCTTACAGCCTGTTCCTTTGCCTTGCTTTTGGTGATAAAATATCCTTCTATGTTAAATAGAAGTCAAGATATTTGCGATTGAAGGTCAGGCTCGCCTGGTTTCAGAGGTAAAATTAGTCAGAAAATGGCCGCCAAAATTTGGTAATTTACATAGCCTGAAAGTCCTTGTAAACTGAAAATTTACATTTTTTGTGCTTTTAATTAATTTTTTTCAGTAAAATCCACACAAAAAAATGAGTTTTTAAATGAACATAACAGGTGTTGGGCCAGAAACGAAAATTTGAAAAAAAATGCCTATCCGACAAAAAATGCCAATTTCATTGATTTCATTATTTTGACGAGCGCCTGATTCCATCATGATGTTTCACATAATATTTACTTTAAAAATCCAAACACCACTGCTGCTCAACACTGCTGATTTTTTAACACGGGTTACCGTGTGTTGGTCAAGGATCAGTAACCACCCTCCAATAACAAACAAACAAGCAAACAACAAACAAACAAACAACACAACAACAAAAACAAACCCAAACAAGCCAAAAGCAAAAACAAAACAAAGAACACTCCTTGGCTGACATACATTTGGCTTGCATTTAGACATTTCTCTGCACAGATTTGGACTTGTACTGTACAGTGGACGCTCATATTATTTAAAATGGAATTGGAAAGCGACGACGGTTAAATTCGGGAGTATACTAAAAGAGTCATATTAATCGGAACCTGCAATTTTATAAATTGTTAAGCTCCAAATCATGAAGATCCAGCTCCGTATTGCTCCTAAGAATATTGAATGCTGCCTTTGTTAAAATTTTGAGAGCTAAAAAAGATCTGGGCTATCAAAAGTGTATATTGATAATGCATTGTATGTCGTTTTGGTTCTAGAACATTCTACATAGATCACACGTACCTCGAGGAGTGCTCGGCGGAACCAGGTCTGGAAACAAATATGGCGAACTGGAATCTGTAGTATGGCCTTGATTTTCTTGTGCTGACCTTGAGAAGGTGACAGTTGTTTGCAGTTGTCCGTCGGGTGCTGTGACTGGTTCTACATCTATCTCATCGTAGGCGTTTTTTGATTGATCTGGAGACAGACAGGGAGGGGGGGGTTGAGACATCCAGGAAGGGTGAGAGAGAGAGAGAGAGA